AAAAAAAAAAAAAAAAGTAAAACTGGCAAGAGTTGAAGGAGTGCTCATGTTGGAGCTGGTAATTCAAATATGGAGCCAGGACTATGTCTCACTGACAAACTGAAAGAAAGAGATGAGGGAATGAGGCATGCAGATGTCTGAGGGAAGAGTATCCAGGCAGAGGGAACAGCCAGTGGAAAGATCTGGAAGCAGGAACATGCTTGGTATATCTGCTCAAGTCCGGGGTAGCCAAATAGCAAGAGGTAGGAAAGGAGGACAGAAGGACACTAGGAAGCAGATTGTGACTTGAGCCTTCTCCTCACTGGTAAAGGATATTTCTCCATGGGAATATGATGATTTAGGAATTTGGTGTCTGGTTTATACTTCTATCTCCTTGGCTAGAGTAAGTCCATCTCTATGAGACAGACCACACTTCGTGTCTTCAGCATGGCTAACTTACTGTCCCTGTGAAGTTGAAGATCTGACTCAGGAACTTGTAGACTCATTTATGGGCTTCTCTCTGGGTCACCAAGCCTGGTGGGGACCCTACCTTTGTTAATACCATATATATTTTCAACACATGCTTGAGGACATGTGAGCTGTGTCCATATAATATAAGACTTCATATTCATATTCATTACCTTAATGGTGACTTTACGAACATATTGAGACATGGGGTTTTGCACGTAGAATAAGGGATATCACAGACATAGAGCTGTCAACATTAAAGTTCATTTAAGTATATTTCTGGAATTTGGACTGAGATAGATTCATGGAATTGAAACTTATTAGCTATGGGATCTTAAGAAACTTACTTCAGTCCTTTAGCACTCAGTTTCTTTCACAGAAAGAGGTGGTTAAAAGAATTATGTGAAATGTTATGTTCAATGGCAAATCATCAGTGCTTAGTAACAAAATTTCCCTTTTTCATTCCCCCATTTCTCAAATTCTTCTTGGTATTGCACGACTCAGAGATATTGCACACATTAAATCAAAATAAAACCTTAAACAAATATCTATGTTAATACCATAGCCTTCCAGAAATGCTCTAGGATAGGGAGGTCAGGTTGTTTTAAGAGGGGTGAGTGCACTTATCAGCCCATTTGTGTTGCACTGTGTTCTCTAGACCCTCCCAGCCTCCTGAGGAGTCAAAACATTTGACACAGTTCTTGGTCATTGTTCACTATAATTTAATGTTAATCTTCATTACTTTGATTCTCCTATATTATCTTGTGAGATCAGCAGTCCTTTCTTTCAAGGCACCTCTCGGTGGGTTTGAAACACTAACTTTTCAGTTGGTTGCTGAGTTCTTAGCATTTGTGTGTAGTGAATTAAGAGGGTCCTTCTATTCTTGGGTCTGAATACTGGGCATAAATTAAATGTGAACTGGGTGTTGTGATGATTAATATTAGGCATCAACTTGGTGAGACTATACTACCATTTATTTGATCAAGCATTAATTTGATCAAGCATTAATGGTGCAGTGAAGGTGTTTTGGAGATATAATTAACATCTACAATTAGTTGGCTTTAAGTAAAGGAGATTATCGTTAACAACATGAGTAGGCCTCATCCAATAATCTACCTAGTTGAAAGCCCTTAAGTGTAAAACCAAGGTTTCACTGAGGGAGAAGACATTCTGCCTCAAGGCTGAAGCATCAGCCCCTAAGAGTTTCAGCCTGCCCACCAGTCAGCCTTACAGATTACAGATTTGCCAGCCTCCACAATACATAAGCTGATTCTTGAAATAAAATAAATCTCTTTCTACATACTCTCTCTCTCTACATATATATATATATATATATATATATATATATATATATATATATATATATATATGTATATTGATCCTGACTCATAGTAACCCCTCCTTGGGTTTCCAAGGCAGTATCTCTACAAGTAGATTGTCCAATCTTCCTTCCAAGGAGTGGCTGATGGGTTTGAACTGCCAGCCTTCTGGTTAGCAGTCAAATGCCTTAGACACTACTCCACCAGAGCTCCCATACAAAATACCTCAAATGCCTTAGGCACTATGCCACTGGCCCTCCTAGTCTGTCTATGTTGCTGTTGTTATGTGCCGTCGAGTCAGACCCAACTCATAGCTACCCATCCTTGGGTTTCCAAGGCAGTATCACTATAGAAGTAGATTGCCCATAGTCACATGGAAATAGACCTGTGGTAAAAAGTGAGACAAAAACTATGACATCATCTGAATTTAGTGTCACTGCTCTCAGCTAAATATTTGTGTGGGCTCCCATGTTCATTTTCTAGGTTCCCAGTTATTTTTATCCAAGCTATTCCTTTTCTTCATTGTAAAGCCTTCCTCACAGCTCTATCATAACTTGAACAAAAGCATCTTTTATCACATTTTTTATTTTCGTACTGTGCCTTTCATTATAACCAAGCAGCTCTTCTATCAAATTGTTATACATAATTTAATACAATTTGGTTATCTGATACTTAGAAGCAATGGCAGGGTCAAATTTAGTTTCCAGATGAGTAATCAACCAGGAGCATAAGCTAACATAAACTTCTAAAAACCAGCTTCTCTTAGACCTGAGAGTCTGCTGGTAGGTACCAGATCCTCCAAAACCCAAATCAAACCAGTTGCCATAGAGTTGATGCCAAATCATGGCAACCTCACATGCTAGGAGTAGAAACACACTCCATGGGGTTTTCAGTAGCAGTGATGCTTTGGAAGTACAATGGGAGGTCTTTCTTCTGAGACACTTCTGAGTGGACTCAACTGCCAAACTTCTGATTAGTAGTCTAGAAATTAACCATCTGTGCCACCCAAGATTACTACCAGAATCTCTATGGTGAACTGTTTTTAAGGTGGTTGGCAACCTACACGGTAACCATACAAGTTTAAGACTGAGTGAGGCAAGATATTTGACCATAGATAACAGTTGTTGTTGTTGTTGTTGTTATGTGCCGTCGAGTTGGACCGGACTCATAGCGACCCCTCCTTGGGTTTCCAAGGCAGTATCACTATGGAAGTAGATTGCCCCATCTTCCTTCTGAGGAGTGGCTGGTGGGTTTGAACTGGCAGTCTTCTGGTTAGCAGTCAAGTGTCTTAGGCACTAGGCTACAGAGTTTTAGAAAAACAAAACTGTAATCTCAAAAAACCTCTATCTTCTATATCACCATTTTGCAATTCTTGGAAAGCTCTTCTTTTGCAGAATTGCTAATTATTACATTCTTTTCATTTGGCTTATCTCTACAATTGTCAATTGGTTGCCTTTGCATCTTTCTTAATTTCTTTTTCTATTCTCCACAGTCATTTCTCTAATTTGTTTTTCTTTCCTTCCTACTGTGAATTTCTTGTATTTTACTTGCCTCATCTCCCCTTCCCATTTTTACCTGCTCTTCTTTGTCTATTCTTTGGATTTTTTCCCCTGTTTTAATCCTTCTTCCTCCTCCACTGATCTGCTGTGACTTTAATCATTGCTTATGTGCTTAAAATCACCTAGGGACTGTAATTTTCTCCCTGAAAGGATACAGACTTGTGAGTGTGGAAAACTAGCTACAAAGGCCCCAATGCATTCAAGTTTCAGAGCAGTCCTTTCTTTCTTCTATGGCACCTTTGGCCTTGGATTAGAGATGGAGTGCTTCCTAAAGCTCACAAGGGCAAAATCCTTCAGCCCTGACTTCTCAGCCCTTCCAACCACAGGGGAGGGCCAGGTGGATCTGAGCTACTATATCTACACTGACATATGCTAAAATTTTAAAATTGTTCTTCACTGGGGAAAAAAGAAACACCTCAAGTTTGCCAGGAAAACAAAGCACCACTGTTTTATAATTTGATGAACCAGACTCATTCTCCTTGATCCCCTCTTTTTTTTTTTTTTTTTTTGCCACAGCATGAAAAGCACACAAATAGGTTCTTGGGAGACAGGTGCAAGAGATTTTTCTGGGTCACCCTGACCAAAGAGACTGTTCGTTCAACACCAACTTGACCAGAAGTAGAATATTTACTACAGAAGGAGAAGGACAATAAAATAGGTTAGTTCTTCAATCCTTGTGATTATTATCATCTGACATTAGAAAATATTAGATTGCCATAAACAGACCAAACATATTTGACCCTGAGATTTTTTGTGACACTAAAGCACGGATGTTCACAGCTTTTCATTTTTTTGAAACCATTCTTTTTTTTTGTAAGTATGGCTATGAATTTGTTTTACCTTTCTGAGCTTTTTGACGAGCAGGAGCGCATACCTCAATGGTTAAGCACTGAAGTTATCCTCTGCCATGCGGCAGTATTTGAGAGATCATATCAAAGGATACTTGTGGTCAAAGCCATACCACATTCTGAAGAGCCAAGCACTCTCTGCTTTTGTCCTGCTTTTATCAAAGCCATTTGCTTCCTGGGGAGAAACAATCAAAAAAGACATTGAATAAGTAATAGAACACATTTCAATATAAAAATATGTCAAACCAAATTAAATTTAACTAATTATGGGAAAAAAAAATCTAGGTACAGACATATTCATCTAATTGGTGAAGTGGTTGCCAAAGAATGAGCTCATAGACCTTGCCCTGTGGACGGGGCTCTTATGGCATAATTCAACACCTACTTTTCTTAATAATCCAAATTTTATTAAACAGCTAAGAAATGCCATTTTTTTTGACATCAATAAAAGTGATATTTCTGTCAGATTGCTGTTGTGGGAATTCCACAGTTTACTTATGTCATTTTTAGATGGAATTTATTTATGCTTACCAAAAGGTCAGGACTAAAGGGATGATTACTGTCTAATAATTGTTACACTAGTTTTCATTCATTGTTTTTGATAGATTGCTTCCAAAAGCTGTGGTTAGTTTTTGATATCTTCCTGTTTATATTTGTAAGAGTTTTGAAATAGATATTCCTCATAAGAAGTCTATAATAATTGTTGTCTATTTTTTTTTTTTTAATCCCACAATGGCCACAGAAAAAGGGAGGAAGAAAAGATATTAAGAAGGAATAAAAGAGAGAGAGAAAGTATTTGATAGGTGCTTATGTGAGAACAAGGTGGCACAGTGGTTAAGATTCTCACTGCTAACCAACTCACTAGCCATTCTTCAGGAGAGACATAAAGAGCCTTGGAAATCCCATGGGGAAGTTCTACTGTGTCCTATAGGGTCACTAGGAGACAGAATTGACTTGATGGCAGGTTTTTGTTTTTTTTTTTTTTTTTTTAAATGTGAGAACAGAGAATGAACATGCGGGAAAAAGGAAAGAAGGTGAAATATTTTGTGAACTTTAGAGATAGATGATAATGAACATTAAATGTGGTATGAAGGATATTCAGTGACACTTTTAGTCCTTTTGTGAATTTCATTTTGCATAGTAAGAGAAGTGAATTCCAAGCTTCAATTGGTTATAATTATTCCCATCATTAAAAGCATTTATATCTTAATGTGGATTTCATTGTTTTTCATGCTCACATTTTCCATCCCAAAACTGTATCAAGAATTCTCAGTCTAGTAATAATGTCGACATGATGACACGTGGAGAACAAAGGCAATCCAATCACTGTATCAAAGGCAGCCCTCAGGTTAGACCAAAGTGATTTGTTTTCATTTTATTCTTTTATTTTATTTGCCCTTTTCAGCCATTTCCATTGTTGATTAATGCTAAATACCTGGACACAAAGGGCCGTATGCTGGCTTCCAGAACATATGTCTGTCAGTAGATGCTGTAGTTGTGTCACTCACAAATGACATAAGAAAACAAGAAAGTAAAACACGGTCCATTTTTATTAAGTCATTTATCCTTTGCCTAAGGGTTGAAATGGAGACTCACAATGAAATGAAAACTCAAATTTGCATACTTCATCAGTTGTCTTAAGATCTCTAATTTGCAAAACTTACAGTTTCTTAAACATTGTTCTTTAGTATGCCACTGTTTTACATGATGCTGATAGGAATTCTGTACCAAACATTCAGAAAGAATAAGTTCAACAGCACTGAACAGGTTTCTTAAATGCAGAACTTCTCAGAGTCTTTAGTTTAGATATAAACATTGTAAATCTTCAAAAGGGAACCATTTCTGAAATGTACTTGTCATGTAGAACCCATCTTCCATCACCAATCCCCACTGTAGGACACCTATTATCTTTTGGACACTAGAACGCCATAGAATTCTGTTTTTTGATAGAAATGGAGTGTCATGCCCTGTTGTTGTTGTTGTTATATGCTATCGAGTTGGACCTGACTCATAGCAACCCCTCATTTGGTTTCCGAGGCAGTATCACTACTGAAGTAGATTGCCCCATCTTCCTTCTCAGGAGTGGCTGGTGGGTTGAACTGTCAGCCTTCTGGTTAGCAGTCAAGTGCCTTAGGCACTATGCTACCAGAGCTCCCTATAGAGTTAGAATTATTCAGCATATTTTTAAAACAGGAAACCAGGGTGTCCACTCCAATTTCTATCTTTCCGCTCACCTTTCTCTAGCTATTTCTGCTCAAAGGTGTCATATTTGCAAAATCACTGCTCCAAACAGTGTTTTCTTCACCATCTTTGTAAATTGTTTCTGAGTCACCATCTCTCCAACAGGCACAGCATGTTGTGGTTCAGCTGGCAGAATGAAACTGCTCATGTTAAACTACCCCACTTAGAAAAAGCTCTGGGCCAACATGGGGATTTTCTTCTTTTTTCCTTTCCTTTTCCTTAAGAACAATAAGAACTCTCTCCATCAATAAGAACAGGAAATTTTAATGGCTGATAATATCTACAAGATTATCATTAAGGAAAAACTGATAAAAAGAAATGTCATCAAATTCCTGTTTTTCATTTATTTAATGAAGTCAGGGGGGTTTAGTGGTGAGCTTGACTGGCAGCCAGGAGACCAGGATGCTAGCACCCACAGGTCACAGCCCAGCTGAAGGATGCTCTCAATGGTGGAATCGCCAGCTGTTGAATACTCTTTAAATCCTAGGCAATGTGCAAGCCACATTATCCTGTCATTAAGTTCTTCAGTCGCTATTTTGTAATTTTCACAAAAATCCAGCAAGGTAGGTTGTATTATATCTATTTTGCAGATGAGGACCTAGAGAAGCCCAGAGAAAGGAAGAAATGGGCACAAAGTTCCACAGCTAGCATGTAGCACAGCTGGAATTTGAAACCAGGACTCCTAGGCTCTAGAGACCATGTTCTTTCTGCTGATACCTTACTTAGTCTTTAAATTTTGGAAAGCACAGACATTCTATATTAGGTTCCTTAACCTCACTGTGTTGCAGTTTCCTTGTTCATAAAATGAATTGAGGAAATTGGGTAGCCTGGCCTCTAAGTATTAATCATATGGAAAATATTATATTTTTATTAATGAAAACAAGGACAGGTGTCATTTCTTGATTACTTAGTATGTACCATAGTGTTTTCCACATATTAACTCATTTAATTCTCATAACAATTGGATGAAGTATGTTCCATTATTATTCCTATTTTATAGATGAGAAAACTGAGGCATCTGGGGCAGGGAGAGGTTTCAAATCACACTATAGTGCCTTGGCAGCCAAGATTCCTCTCAACTGGATGGGGCTCCAGGAAGTAAATAGGGAACAGACTAGGGCAAAGGGGTATCTGAACAGGGGCATGAAATCAAAATACTGGGGTGCCCATGGAGGGTGAGATAGAGCAGCCAGATATATCCCCAAACATAATGAAAATACATGGTTCCCCTCAACTGGGTGAACTGTTATGACTTTGGAAGTGTCCCTGTAGAAACGAAACTCAACATCAGGAATTTCTATAGACTGGTAGGCACTGGTTTCAAGGGTTTCCCAAGATCTTAGAAATTTTCCCTGCTTTTCCTCTCCTTTTTTATTTTACTTCTTGAGGGGAATATGTTGGAATTCACAGCCACTCCTGAAAGTGCTCACAAGCTACTTCCAGAAAACCTTCCAGGGATATTTTTTCAGCTGATGGGAGCAACACATATTAGTAGGATTTTGGAAAAATGTTGACTCATGTAGTCTTTTTTTTTTTTTTTTTTAAACTTTATTTTCCTTCAGGGACTGGAGGTGTTATTCATTTCACTACTTTGGAGAGAAATAAACTGAAGTCTAATTAGAAGAAAATATTTGTGGAGTATATTTTCCCAGGTGGGGAAAATACCCCAGTGATGACCCAGCATTGACTTTTCTGCTGATCCTAGATGAAATTTTAAGTGTGTATCTTAAATATCTATTGGCCCAGATCTATTGGATCGATTCATTTATTTCTCTGAAGTTATTGATGACTTAATAACTTGCTTATGAAAGGCCATCAATAAATTGAGTAGAAATAAATGAGTTAGTCTAGTGTGTGTTCTGCTTGCGCACTGGGGGTTGAAGATAAATGTGCCAAAGGAAGGCAGGCCTTTGCTGTCACCCTGGAACATGGAAGGTATCTGATGAGGCAGCACAAAGAGCAGACCCCTGGGAGGGTCCAGATGGGCAGAAGACAGCAGGCAGCATCAATCTACCTGGATTATTCTGAGGCAGAGATCAACTCACACCCCAAGGACAATTGAGATGAACAGACATCAGAAGTAGTATCTGTAATGTGGTGATATTTTTTCTTTATTACTAACAATATTTCTTCTCTTTGAGTTCCTTCATCCCAAAGGGGAGGTGGTGTGCATGTTGGAATACGCATTAGACCTAGAGACTGAAGACCAAGATCTGAGATCTGACTCTCTACTGTTTAATAATAATACGTTCACCAACTCTGAGCTGTGTGCTTCTCAGCTGTAAATGGATCTGTGGATCCAAGTATATTGCATTTCGACTTTTATTTGTCCTTGATACTTCTAAGAAGCAGAATGATCCGGCTCCTTTATTATCCTCTATTTCTGGGAAAATTTAAAAACAATTGGGGCATTTGATATCTTTCTTTTTTTCTCTTTACCCAAAGGGAATAGACCAGAGGTTGGGAAGTGACGGCGCAAGTAGAGAGTGTGTACTTATCTTCCTCCTACCCCCACTCCCACCCACAGATATGTTGGTCATTTTATTTTATTTTTTAAATAACATTTTACTGTGTTTTAGGTGAAAGTTTACACAGCAAATTAGGTTCCCCTTTAACAATTTTTATAACTATTGCTCCATATCATTGGTAACAATTTTTATAATGCATCAGCTTTCTCATTATTTACATTCTGTTTGTTCTGTTTCCATTGATCTGGCTTCCCTAGCCCACCTTTCCTTCTCATTTTGCTTTTGGGTAACTGTTGACCATTTGGTCTCATATAGTTAATTGTTTGTTGTTGTTGTGATGTGTCCTCGAGTCAGACCTGAATAATAGCGACTCCTCCTTGGGTTTCTGAGGCGATATCACTACAGAAGTAGATTGACCCATCTTCCTTCCGAGGAGTGGCTTTGAACCACCAGCCTTCTGGTTAGC